GGAATAGGTCTGTGCGCCATAGGGTTTTCAGTGACTGATTTTTTTGGAAGTAGAGTGCCAGGCCTTTCTTCTGAGATGCCTCTGAGTGGACATGAGTCTTCAACCGTTCAGCGAGCAGGCAATCATATTAACAGTTTGCATCACCCAGCAATTCATCACTCTACTTAAATCTCAGAAATATTCCATTGGTAGCCATGGTTATGTAAAAGAATAGTTTTGTTTTTCATCTTTCTATTTATTTATTTTTATTGTGATCTAGGTGAAAGTTTACAGAGCAAATTCATTTTCCATAGAGACATTCATCCTCATTTTGTTTCATGACATTGATCACAATCCCCATAATGTAACAGCTCTCCTCCCACTCTCTGTGTCTTTCTTTCCTATCCATTTCTGCCCTCTGAGCTGTCTCCCTGTGCAAACACTGCCCTTCTGATCTCCCCTGATTTATTGTTCCAAGGGGGGTACCTACCTGGTGTAAATATTCACCTTATATGCCTTTTTATTATTTGGCTGGAGAAGAGATAATGGAGATAAATAAGTATTTTTATATTTCTTGAATAATTCTTTGTTATGAACTGATGTTGTTGTTGTTGTTATGTCCCGTCAAGTCAGACCCCACTCATAGTGACCCGTCCTTGGGTTTCTGAGGTGGTATCACTACAGAAGTAGATCGCCCAACCTTCCTTCCGAGGAGTGACTGGTGGATTTGAACTGCCAGCCTTCTGGTTAGCAGTCAAGTGCTTTAGGCACTACACTACCAGAGCTCCTTATGAACTGATAAGATATGCAAATAAAAATAAGTATTTTATTATAAAATAAAATGTAGACCATATCTTTCTTGTTTTAATAGTTAATAGCCTTAATAGTTCAGATTTCCCATTCATTTGGAGGTTAGGACTAAGGATTTACAAGTATGACTAGAAAATTCATCATTTACTGGTATTTTGTTACTGAAGTTCTAACTTCAGTACAACATGTGGCTGGATACATTTTGAATTCAAGGTATTATGTTTATGAGTTAGGGAGAGGAAAAAGTTGTACAAGATACAGGGAGTTGTACAAGATACAGGGAGCTTTTGGCCATAGAAATGTTGTATAATGCTTGTACATAAAACAGCATTATTCCAAGTAATTTCAATCTCCAGTAGTCTGCATTTTTTCTGCAGGCTTGGAGGAGGATATATGATCTCCAATAGGTATGTTTTCTCATCCCAACTGACCTTCAGGTTTCCTTAAAGCAATCCTGCTGCGCCTGCTGCCTCACCTTTGTTTAATGAGAGCCATTTCCTAACGCCAACTTTGGGTTAATGAACTGAGATGGGAGAAAATCAAACGTCTCTCTCCATTTTACACCAGATTGCCTTTCTGCCTTGTGGCTTTAATCACTCAATCCTTCCACATCTGCCATAATAACAATTATGGGTTTTGTACTGCTTTCTCACCCAGGAGGATATGTCACAAAATAGCAATAGCTCCTGAAGAAAGGAGAGGTAAATTCTTTATCTTTTTCCAACATCATAGGTAATAATTTCCCTCTGTAAACCCCCAAGGATTACTTCTTTTGACTCTCACACCCACCATTCCCACAGGTTTGTAGCTCCAGTGTGATTTATGAGTTTTCTTCTATCCTCTCTTTTCTGCGATAGGTTTTAATTATGTAGACAGATTGTAAAAGTCTCTTTCTTCTTGTAAACAACTATTTCTTTGTTACTAGATTTTGTTTAACCAGTTTCCTCCTATCTGAATCTTCTGATGTACCCAGGAATTGTGTCTGTTCGTTGTTTAAAGGCAGTATCAAGAGAAGAGGAAGCTGTTTCTCTTCATAGTATTCCTTGAGGGACTCAGTCTTGGAACACCTCAAATAGCAAATCTCCATTGAGAACTATTCTATACTGCATGTGTTTGAAAGCCAATAATATTTTAGTTTTGATTTAATAAAAGAGCAAAACATCATCCTTAAATAAACCAAACACCAAACAAGTTGCTGAGTTGATTCTGACTCAGGTGACTCTACATGTGTTCCAATAGAAGTGCAGTCTACTGGGTTTTTAATGGCTGTGATATCAACAGAACTTTCTTTCAAGGCACTTCTCGGTGTATTTGAACCCCTAACCTTTTAGTTAGTAGCCAAGTGCTTACCCATTTGTACCACCAAGGACTCTCTAAAATAGGCAGTATGATAAGACTGTCAGTCAGTTGTCAGACATACCTTGGGGATATTGCAGGTTTCGTTCCAGACCACTGCTATGAAGTGAATATTGCAGTAAAGTGAATCACATGAATTTTTTGTTTCCCAGGGCATATAGTAGTTATGTTTATGCTATACTATAATCTGTTAAATGTCCAATAGCATTGTGAAAAAGTTTGCAGTATTATGAGAATTACCAAGATGTGATACAGAGATATGAAGTGGGCACATGCTGTTGGAAAAATGAGGCCAACAGAATTGCTAAGCAAAAGGTTGCCACAAACCTTCAATTTATATATATAAAAAAATGCAGTATATGCAAAGTGCAATAGAGCAAAGTGCAATAAAACAAGGTATGCCTGTATTTATATACTTCTTCTGCTATGAAACTCAAGGGCATGTGTGAAATCCTCAAAAAACCCAAAATCCACTGCCATAGAATCAATTCCGACTCATAGTGACCCTAGATAGGACCGAGTAGAATTGCCCCATAGGGTTTCCAAGTCTGTAAATCTTTACAGAAGTAGACTGTCTCATCTTTCTCCTGCGAAACAGCTGATGAGTTCAAACTGTGGACCTCTCTGTTAGCAGCTGAATGCCTTAACCACTGCACCACCAGAGCTCCTGACATCATCAAAAGCACCAATGAAATATTAGCATTTGCCCCTTCCACAAAGGACTCAGAAATGTAAATTTTCAGGACGTGCCTCAGGTGGTCCTGAAAACCACTGCTCTTACCCTAGCCCCTTCCAGGTAATAATTAAAAGATACAGAAAAAAGTATAATATGACTTTTTTTTGTTGTTGTTATTTTCTGCATAAAAACTTTTAAATATTTGAGATTCCTTTTTTAATCAGGTGGTCACTTTATTTAACACATTCTTTGGTAATTCTGTCCTCTTAGGTGACCTTTGAAGCACAATGTTTGTGGAAAATTGATTCTGCAAGAAAAGCTAAATATCATCCTTTAGCCAGGCTACTCATTTCCCACAGCAACTTTTAATTTTTAAATGCCACCTTACCGAACACCTCTTCAAAAGGCTAAGACAGTATTCTCCCAGTATTATGTGAAGCATATTTGTGGGGAGGGGAATAATTTTTAGACACAGTTGTGTGTATGATGCCCTCCCATTGAGGAAACACTTATTTAGGTCACCCAAAACAGGAGATGTGTTCTGTGGCCAAGGACAGAGTCATGGTCCCTGCTAGCACTAGATACAGTCATGACTTTGGCCTCATTGGTAGGGGTGCTGACCACTGAGCTCACCACACAGCTGAGCCATACAGTCCCCTGCAGTACATTAGCAGGGATTCCTAACCTCTGCTTCAGTGGGGGTACAAGAACATCCTGATATTTTATGCAAAACTTTGTGAGTGTTCATTTTTTTTAGAAGAGAGGCTCAACATTTTCATCAGATTCTCAAAAGTGAGTGCAACTTTTTTTTTAAAAAAAGTTATGCTTTCACTAAATAATATTGTTCTAAAAGTAATTTTAGAATTCCTTTAAATAAAGTAACCTTGCCTGGAATCTGAGGTAGATTTCTCTAATTCCATGTCATTGGGGGAGAGGCTCTTGAACTTCAACTTTTCATTATTATTCTGTGCCTGTGAATTATTTTTAGTTGGAGAAGTGTGTTACTTTTACATGAGAGGGAGATGATAGAATAAACCCTATATTTTTGAACTTTACGTATTTTTAATAAATGAAATTGTTTTCACTACATTATGTGAATAGATTTTCAAAACCCATTCTTCAGCAATATATCCTATTAGTTTTCTTTCTCTTAATTGTCTTAAGGTAACCCAACCCTGCTTTTTTCCTTACAATATAGGAAGGCTTAAGTCTGGTCATCCTTCACCTAATTTAATGTTAGACTATAACCTATTAACTGTAACATAATACGTATATCCCTTGTTGTTGGGTGCCATCAACTCAATTCCAACTCATAGCAACCCCACTCCTGAAAGGGTAGAGCTACCCCATAGGGTTTTCTCAGCTATAATCTTTATGGAAGCAGATTACCAAGTCTTTCTCTCTCACAGCGCCACTGGCTGGGTTAGAACTGCCAACCTGTTGGTTAGCAGCCAAGTGCTTAACCATTTACACCACCAGGGCTTCTTAATACATCTCTTGTTGTTGTTGTTGTTATGTGCCGTTGAGTCAGACCCGACTCATAGTGATCCCTCCTTGGGTTTCCGAGGCAGTATCACTACGGAAGGAGATTGCCCAATCTTCCTTCCGAGGAGTGGCTGGTGGGTTTGAACCACCAGCCTTCTGGTTAAGCAGTCAAGTGCCTTAGGCACTATGCTACCAGAGCTCCCTAATACATCTCTTAGGGTAAAGTAAAATGATAGGGCGAAAGAGTGCCATTCTTGGTACATTTTCTATAGTTTTCTTACCTTCAATACCTTACAGTTCATTTAAGTCTTCATTATTACAGACATGTTGCATATGGTGGTGTAGTCCTTAAGGCATTTGACTGCTAACCAGAAGGTTGGTGGTTCAAACCCACCAGCCACTCCGTGGAAGGAAGACTGGCAATCTACTTCCGTAAAGATTTACCACATTGCAAATGCAAAGGGGGTTGCTATGAGTTGGAATTGACTCCATGGCAGTGAATTTTTTTTTTTTTTTTTTTGGGGGGGGGGTGCAGTGCATGGGAAGAAATGTCACCAGACAGGTACAGTGTGGATACTATATGGATTTTTATTTTTCATTCTAGGTGACTTTATGGAATTGAAACTAAAGAAAACAAGGAAGGATTGAAATTTTATAGGAAAACAAGTCACGCGGTCTTCAGAAATGGAAAGAAATGCAGCCATCTGAAATGGTCATGAACCCCAAACAAGTCTTCCTCTCTGTGCTGATATTTGGAGTTGCAGGGCTGCTCCTCTTCATGTACTTGCAAGTCTGGATTGAAGAACAACATAAAGGTAACACAAGAACTTTCTTTTTCTGTTTAAATTAAAATAACAATGACAATTTTCAATTTAGTAAGCTGTAATGTGTACAGCTCTATAGAAAGTCACAAGATTTCTGACAAAAAGAAATATAAGACACCAACTTAAAATCCCCAGCTCCTAAAAGAAATGAAGGTTATACAATTCTGGTGGGCATTCTCCCTGAGGAGAGAGTAACAATTAACAATCAGCCTAGCAAGGACTGCTTGTAGAGAATTTGTCTACTCAAATGTACAATGTTTATCCAATCTCTGGTAGGTCCACTAAGCATCAGGCACAGACCAAAACAGAGCTGAATATATAGCAAACTGTCTCTTTGAATTCCTTCCTGATTTTGTTATAACACTCAAAATTGGTGTGGAAATTCTTTAGCACGTTTACTAATGACCCATAAAACCAGTTACCATTGAATTGATTCCTACTCACGGTAGCCTCATGTGTCTCAGAGTAAAATGGTGTTCAATAGGGTTTTTAGTGGCTGCTTTTTTGGAAGTAGATCACAGGCTTTTCTTCCTAGGTGCCTCTGGGTGGACTCATACTTCCACCTTGTCAGTTAGCAGCTGAGCACGTTAAAAGTTGGTAGCACCAGAAGACTCTAACTGTAGAGTAGGGATCAGAAAACTTTTTCCATACTGGGCCAGACAGTAAATATTTTAGGCATTGCAGGCATTACTGTTGCAACTACTCAACTCTGCCAGTGTAGCATAAAAGCAGCCATGGCTTATACTTAAAAAAATTGGCCTGACTATGTCACAGTAAAACTTTATTCACAAAAACAGGTGGTAGACTAGACCTGACCCACAGGCAGTAGTTTTCCCATCTCTAGTATAGAATAATGCTTAACTTGTACTTTCATCATTAATTTTATAATTGCTAAACATTGGAGGTGCTCAATTGTCATTAAACTGGATTATATTCATAATGCTATTATTATTAAAGGAAATACTTTAGAATATTATATATATATATATATACACACACATATATAAAATATAGGTATTATGAAATATAGTTGTTTTTCATTGATAGGAGTAGATTATAGTTTATGATTGTTGTCTTAGGCTGGATTCTCTAGACAAGCAAAACCAGTGAAGCTGTATATATCTAGAGAGAGAGAGAGAGAGAGAGAGAGAGAGAGAGAAAGAGAAATTTACCTTAAGGGAAAGGCTCAAACAGTTGTAGAGACTGGCAAGTCCCAAGTCCATGGGTCAAACATCAAGTTGGAGGCTTCTCCTGACTTAGCAGCTGCAAGGGCTGATAAACCCAAGATTGGCAGGACAAATAGCAGGCTGCTGGCTTCAGAGGCTACCGAATCCAAGAACAGCAGGTAAAATGGCAAATTGTTGGCTCACAGGCTATGCAGGCAACAGTCCCAAGATCAGCAGGCAATATGGCAAGCCATATTCAAGTCCAGGAACCAGCCATGATGATGATGAGCTAGATGCAGGACTAAGATCAAACAGAAAGCCAGACAATTTTCCCAGGACACCCATATATATCCATATATATATTGGAAGCAAGCCACACCCCTGAGGCAACTCCCTTTTGACTGATTGGCTACTCATAGCAGATCTTATCATGGAAGTGATTACATTATATCAGATCTCATCATGGGGGGATGACTACATCATAACTGCTAAACCATTCACTTAGAATGATGGCTAAGCCAAGTAGACACAACCTTAACTATCACAATTTTTAAAGAAACTAAAAACTGAAGAAGAGTGATTTCTTAACTGTCTCCTATTGTGGCCTATTTAAAATTATTCTTGATATAAAGCCCTTAAGAATCTTCTCTAAAAAATTATTAATACTGTATTACAAATATGATCACTTAAAAAATTGTTCCCATTTTTAAATGCTTCTCCTTGGTTTATTTATATAGACTCTGACTTATTTAATTTATACAGTAGCCCTTGTTAAAAGAAGTTGCATATAATTATTTTCTAAAGCATATGCAATATATTGTCAAAACTTATTTTTAAATCCCACTACAATTTACATACACTATTATATGCTGTTTATATATTGCTGCAATAAAATTTATCATAATCACATGTAACATTTAATACAGGAGTTCTGGTAGCATAGTGCCTAAGGCTAACCAGAAGGCTGGCCATTCAAACCCACCAGCCACTCCTTGGAAGGAAAGTTGGGCAATCTACTTCCATAGTGATACAGCCTCGGAAACCCAAGGAGGGGCCGACTCCATGGCACATAACAACAACAACATTTAATAAAACTATAGATCTTGAAATGTGCTTTTTCACAATGACACAATCCTTCTCAATTTCTCATTTCCAGCATAGTAGACCATATAATTGTCTGATTCAAAATGGACAATGCCAGACCATTTCAGCCTTCTAATATATAGGACATCTATCTTCAAGCATTCCATTTCCATTTTTTTTTTTAATTTTTATTGTGATTTGGGTGAAATTTTACGGAGCAAATTCACATTCCATACAGCAGCTCACATACACTTTGTCTCATGACATTGACTGCAATTTCCCACAATGCAACAGCTCCCCTCCCACTTCCTCCCCATGGTTACCTCTTCCCTGTGTCCTTCCCTCCCATGCACTTCTGCCTCCTGAGCTGTCTCTCTGTGCATACACAGCCCTTCTATTCTCCCATGATTGATCTGTCCAAGGAGTGATCAATGTAAATGTAAATGTTCAGCTCATATGCCTTTTATTTGGCTGGAAGTCACAGTAGTGAGTTCAATTCCAGACCTGAAGGGGGCAGCTAGGGGCCATAGTGTCAGTAGTTCCATCTCGCTCTATCAGACCAGCAAACCTGGTCCCGTTTTTTTTTTTTTAATGATTTTGAGTTTTATTCCAAATTGTTCTCCCATTCTATCTAGGGTCTTCTACATAGATCCCCCTCCAAGTGGTTGACAGGAGTAGCCAAGTACCATCTAGTTCTTCTGGTCTCATAGTCATATAGGCTGAGAATCGCATGGTGTACCAGTCACTTGGACAAATTGTTTCCATGAATATTTGGTTTTCTTCATTCTTCTTTGCTCTGGATAAGGAGAGACCCATCGTTGCATCTAGATGGCTGCTTGCAATCTTTTAAGATCCCAGTTGCTGCTTGTCAAGGTAGGATGTGAAGCACTGTTTTTGTGTAGTATTTTATGCCAACTGAGCTTGATGTGCATTCCATTTCATTTTTGACAACTTCTTATTTTCCTAGATTTATGTACACTACTGTGTACATACCATGTCCCAATTATTAATGGATGTCGGTAGCTGATTTTTCTCTTTTTCAGTCTTGCAGCATCAGCAAATGATAGTACCAAAATCTTTACTCTACCCATGTTACTAAGGTCAACTCTACTTTCAGGAAGCAGATCTTCCCCAGTTGTACTTTGTGTTCCTTATAAGTTGAGGGGCTCAACTTATGGCGCTGTTTCATAAAGTTTGTTTTTAGGTGCCATTGAGTCAATTCTGACTGGTAGCAACCTTGTGTGCTACAGAATGAAACACTGCCTGGTCCTGCGCCATCCTCACAATCGTGGCTGTGCTGGAGCCCATAGTCTCAGCCACCATGTCAGTCCATCTCATTGAGGGTCCTCGTCTTTTTCACTGATGTTCTGTTGTATTAGGCATGGTATCCTTCTCCAGGGGCTGGTCCCTTCACACAACATGACCAAAGTTTGAGAGACAAAGTCTGGTCATTCTTGCTTCAAAGGAACATTCTGGCAGTCTTGCTCTAAGACAGATTTCTTTGTTGTTCTAGTAGTAATATGTTTGTTATTCTTCATCACCACCACAATTCAAATGCACCATTTCTTCTGTGGTCTTCCTTATTCATTGTCTGACTCTTAAAGGCATATGAGGTGATAACAGATTTCATGGTCAGGTGCACCTTAGTCTTCAGTAATAAAGAAGTAGATCATGAGGATTTTTTCCCTAGCCTGCTTAGTTTGGGAGCACCACTGCAAAACTTCCCATGGGTGACACTGCTGGTATTTGATATGCCAGTAGCATAGTTTCCAGCATCACAGCAACATGCAAGCCACCAGGATAGGACATAATGACAGATGAGTGCTGGCTGAGAATTTATCAAGCTGAAAAAACTGAAGGAAAAATTTAAGCCCTGAATTGCAATATGGGGAAAATATTGAATGACACAGAAAGCATGAAGATAGAAGGAATACAAAGAGTCACTGTACCCAAAATAATTGGCCAATATTCAACCATTTAAGGAGGTAGCATTCGATCAAACACCAATGGTATTGAAGGAAGAAGACCAAACTACACTGAAGGCATTGGTGAAAAACAAGTCTTCAGGAAGTGGTGGAATACCAAATGAGATGATTCAACAAATAGATGCAATGATGGATGCAGTCTATGCCAAGAATATTGGAAGACAGCTACCTGGCCAACTGACTGGAAGAGATCTATTTATGTGGTTATTCCAAAGAAAGATGATACAACAGAATGTGGAAATTATCAAATGATATCATGAATATCATGTACTAGTAAAATTTTCTGAAGATAATTAAAAAATGGTTCCTGCAGAACATTCCTACGGGACTACTGAAACTTAAGCCAGACTCAGAAGAGGACATGGAATGAGAAGTATCATTGCTGATGTCAGATCTTGGCTGAAAGCAGAGAATGCCAGAAAGATGTTTACTTGTGTGTGTGTGTGTTTGTTTGCTTGGAGGGGTACTATGCAAAGGCATTTGACTGTGTGAATTGTAACAAACTATTGATAAAATAGCAAAAAATGTGAGTTACAGAATACTTAACTGTGCTCATACAAAATCTCTACATAGACCAAGAAGCAGTCGTTAGAACAGAACAAGGGAATATTGCATGGTTTAATTTAAAGAAAGGTATGTGTCAGGGCTCTATACTTTCACCATACTTATTCAATCTGTATACTAAACAAATAATCCAAGAAGATGCACTGTATGAAGTACGTGGCATCAAGATTGGAAGAAGACTCAGTAATAACCT